GGCACTGGGGATTGAACTCAGGTTTGCTTTACCTCTGAGCTACATCCCCAACCTCTTTTATTTTTTATTTTGAGATACAGGGTCTTGCTAAGTGGTAAGGGTCTTGTTAAATTGCTGAGGCTGGCCGCAAACTTAATCCTCCTGCTTCAGCTTCCCAAGTAGCATGTGCCACTGCTCTTACCTTCTTTATTTGTTTTAGTGACATATTATAGTTTTCAGTTTACATGTTTTTTGCTAAACTTATTCCTAAGTATTTTTCTTATTTATGAATTATAAACGAAACTGTTCCCTTAATTTCATTTTTAGATTGATCATTTTTAGGGATTAGAAGTACAATTGATTTTTGTTGTTGTTGGGGATAGAACCCAAGGCCTTGCACATTCGAGGCAAGCACTCTACCAACTGAGCTATCTCTCCAGCCCAACAATTTATTTTTTTTATGTCAATCTTCTGTCCTGAACCTTGTTTAACTTGTTTATTAGCTCTAATAGGGGTGTGTGTGTGTGTGTGTGTGTGTGTGTGTGTGTGTGAATTAAGATTTTCTCTATACAAACTTTGTTATCTGTGAGATGGTTTTACTTTTTCCTTTCCCTTTGGTGTTTTTTTTTTTTTCCTTGCCTAATTGCTTTGCCTTCCACTATTCAATACAATGTTGAATAAAAGTGGCAAGAAGTCAGCATCCTTGACTTGTTCCTGAAAGCCCAGAAGAAGGCTTTCAGTCTTTCACCAGTAATATGATGTTAGCTATGGGATTTTATAGATGCCCTTTATCAAGTTGAGGATGTCCCTTGGATTCCTAGTTTGTTGAGTAGTTTTATCATGAAGGTGTGTTGGATTTTGTAAAATGCTTTTTTTCCGGCACCTTTTGGGATCATCATGTAGTTTTGTCCTTCATACAACTTGTTACTCGTAGACCTATGGTTACTTAGTAGGTTTATAGAGAAAGAAGGCATTTGATCATGTGTCCTTGGCTGACGGGCAGAGAAAAACATTAATTTTCAGTCCTATTATATGAATATTATTTTAAAAAGTCACACAATGATGAAAAGATGTTCTGTTCAGATATGAATACTAGTGTAGCCTGTTATTATTCAGGTTGTACTAGGCTCTATTAGCTCACCTGATAGGTTGAAGTTTCTTCTGTGTCTTGTATTTTCCAAATCACTTTTTAAAAGAAAACAGGAATGGGGGTATGTAACTCAGTGGTGGAGCACTTGCTTAGCCTGTGTGAGGACCTGTGTTCAATCCCTAGCACAAAAATAAATAAATAAATAAATAAAGGAAAAGGAAGAAGAGGAGGAGGAAGAGTGGAGGAGGAGAAGAGAATTAAAAATGTACAGGGAACTAAAATTGATAGGAAAACAAACCTTTACTTAAAGGCCTGTAAAAAGGAGAACGAGACTTCCACTTTTCTTCTGCTTATGCAAAGTGTCTAGAAAAAGAGGACTGACAAACTTTAAGTGAAAGACTGATTAAAAGCAATTCATCATTAGGTATCTACATGAAGTTGCCTGTAGGTTGATCCAACAGCTGACCAGCCATGGCAAGCTATTCAACACAACTTTGAATATTGCTATAGAATGTTATGGATTGGATATAGGTGTCCCCCCAAATCTTCTGTGTTAATGCAAAAATGATCAGAGGAGAAATGATTGGGCTGTGAAAGCTGTTACCTAATCTGTCTGTCCTAGTTTGAATAGACTGGGTGGTAACTGTAGGCAGGTGGGTGTGGCTAGAGGAAGGTGGGTCACTGAGGGGGTTCCCTGGAAAGGTGTATCTTTCCTGCAGCCCCTCCCTCCTTTCTCTCTCTCCCTCTGCTTCCCGGCCAGCCATGAGAGGAGCAGCTTTCCTCTACCACACCCTTCCACCATGATGTGCTGCCTCACTTTGGTCCCAGAGTAAAGGAGTCAGCTATCTTTGGAAAGAGACCTTGAAACTGTGAGCCCCATAGAAATTTTTCCTCCTCTAAGTTGATCTTCTCAGTTATTTTGGTCATACAACAAAAAGCTGACTAACACACAGAGCGAGTCACTATTGACTTGTTTTTTATTATCCTTAGTGCTAAAGAAAAACATGGCTGTATCTACTGTGATGGTTAATTCTGTGTCAACTTGACTGGGCTATGAGGTGCCCAGTATTTGGCCAAACATTATTCTAGGTGTTTCTATGAGAGTATTTTTGGATGAGATTAACATTTAAATCGGTAGAACAAATAAAGCAGATTGTTCTTCTCATGGGTGGATCTCATCTGGCTGGTGAAAGGCCCAAATGGAGAATTTTTGCTGCTTGATGGCCTTTGAACTGGGACATCAGCTTTATTTCTGCCTTTGAACCTTAACTGAACCATTAACTCTTCCTGGCTTCAAGCCTGTGGGCCTTTGGACTGGAACTCCACCATCTGTTCCCCTGGCCTAAAGCCTTCAACATGGACTAGAACTATGCTGTTGTTTTTCCTGAGTCTCCAGCTTGCTGACTCACCTTGCAGCAGATCTTGGAAGTTGCCAGTCTCCACAACTGCATGAACCAATCTTCATAATAACTCCCTTTCTATTCATTTATAAATCCTGTTTCTCAAGAAAACCCTGATTAACATACATACTGTTTTTTAAAGGGATTTCATTATTTTATTAGTGTCTGGGGGACAGGAGGAATGGAAACAGTTCCCATGGAATGAATTTGGGAGGACATTCTGGACAAGAATTGTTCTTAAGCCGTTTCTGGTTCCCAGATCCTTTAACTATTGTCTCCTTGCATTTAGTGAATCTAGGACTAAGATTTCATGGGCTGTGAATGTAGTCAGTGGTAGAGCACTTGCCTAGCATGCATGAGTCCCTGGATTTGATCTCTAGTATCACAAGCAAAAAAAAAAAAAAAAAAAATTTAGGCCTAGCACTTTTTACTTTTATTCTACTGGTATTGAAAGAAGTATGAAAATGTCCAATTATGATTGCAGATTTGTATTTATTTCTTCCTTTTAGTATTGTCAACTTTTGCTTTATATATTTTGAAGCATCCTAAAGATATTGATATATTTCCATTTAATTGTCCACCCCGCTTTTTTTTTTTTTTTCAGTGCTAGGAAATGAATCCAGGGCCTCACATATGCTAGGCAAGCACTCTACCACAGAGCTACATCCCCAGACTGTCACTTTTTATTATGAAATGACCAGCCAGCCATGAGAGGAGCTTTTTATGTACTTTTTCCTTTGTGTGTGTGTGTTGTTGTTGTTGTTGGAGGTCTAACCTAGGGCCTTGCACATGCTAGGCAAGCACTCTGCCATTTAGTTATACCCCAGGCCCTTCTCGCTTTAAAATCTACTTCGATATTAATAATTTTACACCAGCTTTCCTTTTGTTAATGTTAGCATAGAATGTATTTTCCCATTTTAATTTACATTTTTCTGTGTTCCTATATTTAAAGTATGTCTCTTGGAAAATGTTTAACATTGTCTTTTTAAAATTCAGTATAATAATCTTACATTTTAATCAAATGTTTATAACATTTGTCTCTAAAGTAATTACTGAAATTGTTGGATTTCAGCCAGTCATATTGTTATTTTATATTTTCCCCATCTGTTTCTGTACCTTTATTAATCCTTTATTGCTTTATTTATTTATTTATTTGGTACCAGGGATTGAACTCAGGGGCACTCAGCTACTGAGCCACATCTCCAGCCCTATTTTGTATTTTATTTAGAGACAGGGTCTCACTGAGTTGCTTAGTACCTCGCTGTTGCTGAGGCTGGTTTTGAACTCATGATCTTCCTGCCTCAGGCTCCTAAGCCAAGGGGGATTACAGGCGTGAGTCACCACACCAATCTCTGTTTTATTTTTGATTCATAAGTTTTTATTTCATTTTCTTCTGTATTGAGCTTTTAATACTTTTTTAAAATATCACAGTTTTCACCCTAAATTTAGTGATTACAAAATATATATTTGATTTATTAGTTTCCTTTAAATTAGTACTTTTACAATACCCCCTCAAATAAAGTATTTATGACAGTTTAACTCCATTTACCCATTTCTTGCTTTTGTTCTATTATTGTTATATTTTACTTTTCCACATGGTAAATATTATTGTTTTTTTTAAAACCATCAGTTTTTTTTTTTCTGTAAGTATTTTATTTATCACTGAAGAAAAAACACAGCAGCAAGTTCTGTGTTGGCTTTAGTAAGACCAAACAGTTAATCTTTAACATAGCTACTACACTCCAAAAATTGAAGTCAACACAGTCATTACCACAAATTACTTGTTGAAAGAATCTATTCTGAAGAGAAAGGAAATTAGGAAAAAGAATTTAAAGAATTCCTCCAAATCACACATTTATAAATATTATCATATTTAAAATGCTTGAAAGGCATGAAGTCTCCATTAATGGAAAAGCATTTTGCTATTGGCAACAGAAAAAAAAAAACAGTGATAGTTTACCAAATGCTTTAAAATTTAAAAGCTGTACTGTTTTGGGTTTGCACTTGAACAGTATTGTCATTACAATAATGACTGCAAATTGCTTTATACTCACCTCTTCTTAAGTAAAATCTACAGAAAATCCCACTGTATCCAATGTCTGTAATATTTACTGCACTTAGAGTGAAACTAAAAACTTCCTAAATTTAGTTAATAGTAAATACCTCAAAATACCTAAAGAGGTAGGTTTCAACCGCTAATGGTGTGAAAATTGTTTCGGATTCACTGGTTTAAAGGGTCTTCGAATACATTTTAACAGAAGCTTAACACCTCATTCCAAATTAATATCAGATATTTCAAAATCAAATATCAGTTCTATACCAAGATACAGGTGTTACTCCATACCCGACGGGTTTAACCATCAGTTTTAATTTTTGTCTATGCACACATTCCCTTTCTGATGTTCTTCATTCTATTCCACAGTTCTGTGCAAGTATCAGGGATCATTTTCATTCATCTTGAAAAATTGCCTGTCATATTTCTTATAGAGTGATTCTGACATTTTTCCATTTTATCCCCTCTGAAACTGTTTATTTTATCTTCAATTTTTTAAGTACCTTTAGTTCATTTTTTTATGTGCTGCTGAGGATCGAACCCAGTGCCTCACATGTGCAAGGCAAGTGCTCTACCACTAAGCCCCAGCCCCAGCCCCTCATCTTCAATTTTGAAGAGTAATTTCACTGAGTATAGATTTTTGTGTTGTCTGTACTTTCCTTTCAGCCGCTTAAGATGTTATTCAGTTATCTTTTGGTATTATAATTTCTGTTGAAAAACCAGTCATCAGTCTTACTTTTGTATCTTTGAAAGTAATGTGTGTTTTTCCTCTAGCTGCTTTTAATTGTTAGCAATTGACTACATGGGATTCACAGAGCTTATTGAATCTGCCAATTCATGTCTTTCATTGGGTTTAGAAAATTCTTGGGAATTAGTTTTCCAAATATTGATTCTATTCCATTCTGTCTCTACTTTCATTCTAGGGCTGAAGTTACAGGTTTGTTAAACATTTTGAGTGTGTCCTGCATGTTAATAATATCATTTTTTGAATTAAAATTTTCTCTTTTGATAATTTGAATACTTTCTTTTGGCTGAGTGACTTAAATTTGTTAATTCTGGGGGGTGCAATTCTTAGAAGAGTCACCTAAAAAATATGGAAGATAGATTGATTGAACTCAGGGGCACTCAACCACTGAGCCATATGCCCAGCCCTATTTTGTATTTTATTTAGATACAGGGTTTCATTGAATTGCTTAGCACCTTGCTATTTTTTGCTAAGGCTGGCTTTGAACTCTCGATCCTTCTGCCTCAGCCTCCAGAGCCACTGGGATTACAGGTATGCACCACCACACCCTGCTAACCTAGTTTTAGGATAGAAAATATTACCAATATGTGCAATTGGTAATCAAAGAAGTACCAAATTATTAGCTGCTTATATCAAAGAACATGATTTAACAAGTTTTTACATATGCTATTCTTTGTTGTGCATTATTATTTCTTTTTTTTTATATTTATTTTTTAGTTTTCAGCAGACGAAATATCTTTGTATGTGGTGCTGAGGATCAAACCTGGGCCGCACACATGCCAGGCAAGCATGCTACCGCTTGAGCCACATCCCCAGCCCATGCATCATTATTTCTAATTCCTTATTTCCTCATCAAACTCCAATTGAAGTCCCACTTAGGGATTGTTAAAATAAGAATGTTTATCCATATGGATCCTCTGGATGATCACAGTATTTCCACAGTGGCATATATTCATATCTAAATTTCACCTCAAGAGGATTGTTTCACAATGATGTCCCCTAGGGGAATTACACAAGGATTAACACTGGCTTGTTTTTCTTTCCATTTCTCTACCATTTCTAATCTCTTCCTAGAAATACTTAGATAACTGCCTAGCTCTTTTCATAAGAAATATGTTTTTACTTGATACACTTTTAAATTTATTTTGAATGGAGGCATTTAAAAGTTATTTTTAATTAATTGAAAATTAGTTGAGTTGGTTTTACAATATTGTTATCTACTTTTATCTTACACAGAGTACATCTGGTTGAAAGAGAAAAAGCAGAGCGAAAAGCTGATCTTTTGGAGAAAATGTTGTCAGGCACTAGCAGATTCCCTTCTTATATGACTATGAAAGGACAAGAAAATTTATTGGATGTTTTCCCAGTGAAGGTGAGAACAAATTCCAATTAATCTCTGAAGAAACAGGATTTTTATTACCTATTGTTACTCCAGAAGATAATGGGTAGAGTTGAGTAACTTATTGGTTAGTTCTCTCTGTCTGTCTCTCTCTCTCTCTATTGGGGATTGAACCCAGGAGGGTTTTACCACTGAGTTACATCCTTTTTTGTTTTGAGACAAGTTCTCACTAAGTTGCTGAGACTGGCCTCAAACTTGTGATCCTCCTGCCTCAGCCTCCCCAGTCACTAGGATTACAGGCATGCACTCCCACACTCAGCTGCCCTCTTCTTAATGGAAGATGAAAAGAAGGAGGAGAGTGTGGCAGGCTGGAGGCTGTTCTGATACATGGAAAGAATATGCAAGAAGGATCTGAAGATCTCTCTGATTCTAAAGAAAAGGTTAGCGGAAATGGGGCTGTGAGATAACTGGGAAAGAGGTGATGGTGAGAGTGAAATACCGGATTTGTTTGCGTGTTTGTTTTTGCAGTGCTTGGAATAAAACCTAGGGTCTCACACATGCTAGGCAAGTGCTCTACCACTGAGCTGTACTCCTAGCCCCCAAAATATTGGAGTTTAAATTTCTGGTATGGATTAGTACCTGCGGTTGACAAAATCTGGGTTAGTGCATCTGAGTGTAGGTGGTTAAAGAGGAGAATAGAAGTGAAGGTCACTGGGGCACAGGAATCATGAAGCTAAATTGGTGGGTCATCTCCATTGGTCATTGACATCTAGAATGATGATGTAAGTTGGGTTTAGAGGAAGGAAGTGAGCCTGGGCTTTAGGTAGACAGTGATTGATAGGATGAGTTGAAGGTATTATAGAAGTCTGAAGGAAAAGAAGGGGAGCCAGATGTTGTCCAGGAAGTGGTGAAAGTTTATTGTGAAATCCTTAGTTTATTATATAATGTGAATCTAGAACCAGGCATGGTGGCACACACCTTAACCTCCCCCCCAGTTACTCAGGAGGCTGAGACAGAAGGATCCCAACTTTGAGGTCAGCCTCAGTAACTTGATGAAACTCTGTCTCAAAATAAAAAATAAAAAGGGCTGGAGATGTAGCTCAGTGTAAAGTGCCCCTGGGTTCTCTATCTAGTAGCAAATAAATAAATTAAAATGTTTAAATCTGAATGTAAGATAAGATCCTATACGATCTGATTAATGGGAGGAGTTTCATTAAAAAAAATTCAGCAACTACTTTCAAAGTATTTTGAAGTATTCTTTATTTGCCCCTCTCAAGTAATTTAGAATTCACAGTCTCTCTCTCTCTCTCTCTCTCTCTCAAATATTGTTGTAAAACTCACACATTTCTGAAAAACTCTCACAGAGTCAAAGTTCATGCAGTTCTGACCTTTTCTTCCCTTAGTCTTTATTCCTGTGGCTGTTTCTTCCTAAGCTTTTAGTGATACAAACCCACCATTACTTCCACAATTCTTGCTCTTCTTGAATTTCTCAGTTTCATAACAAAAAGCCCAGAAACTGAACTTGCTTACTTAGCTCCCAGAACCGAAGGTGACAGGAAGGTGGGAAGAAAGTCTTGTTGAAGTTATAAGGTGGAATTCTGCTGTGGGAAGTAAGGGAAAGAGGTACATGCATTATCTGTAATTTTTTTTTCCTGTCATGTTTACAATGGAAGCAGAATGACTACAGGAGCATAAAGGAAAGGTTAGGGAAAAGAAATATGACTTTCATTTATACTCTCATGTTATCAAGGTTGTTTTTATTAAATTATATATGATAATAATAACTCTTTAGGAAAATATTCAATTCTCTGCCAGTTTTTCACTAATGGTCTTAGCATTCATTGATGATTTAAAAAAAAATTTTTAGTTGTAGATGGGCACAATACCTTTATTTTATTTATTTTCATATGGTGCTGAAGATAGAACCCAATGCCTCATACTTGTGAGGCAAGCACTCTGCCACTGAGCCACAATCCCAGCCCATCATTGCTGATTCTTGCTTAGATCAGTTATTACATTAGGAGTTACAAAATGATGATGATGATTTTTTTTTACATTCCTATCATTCCTTCTACACTTTTTAGCTCAATTTTTTCTACCTTCATCAACTGGGGATTTTTGGTTAGCTGCTTCTTTAAGCTTAATTTCTACTTTTGCTGTTCCCATTTGTTATTTTGAATATATGCCCAAGTTTCTCTTGTGAATCTTAATTCTTTCTCTTGAGGGTCTCCTGAAGTTTTGTGCTACTACTATATTTTGTAGTTCAAAAGAAGGAAAATAGAAGTCTCTGTATTTAATTTCAAGTGAGAAGTTTAACTTGTGTGCATATTTAGGACAAGACAGAAGCTTTCATGGCCAACAACTTTGAGAGAGACATTTTTCATACTGAAGAACCAAATCACAAGCAGAAAATTTGGGATGGATGTCAACAAGATTTGATACAAGAGGATAAACAAGCACCAGAGTTAGACAGACAGCCATATTCATGCGGATGGGAAACTGAAACCGCACAATCTCAATATCAGAATTTCCTCAGTCAATTGTCTACTCTTCTGAGTGATAGCATTGTTCCCATACCAGCCACAGAGGAAGCTGTGAAAGAAAAGATACTGGAAATCAGTGAAAATGAACTCTCTTGGAAATCTGTAAGTACATCAAAAAAAAGTTATTTTTTCCTATTTGATTCTTTTAAGATATAGACTTTGCTATTATCTAATTTAGTATACTGTATGGCTCTGACTTGTAATTTTGATTGTATTTCCATAGTGAAAGAAGAGAAATAGGTCATCTTACGACACTGGAAAAAGTATAGCATAGTCACTAAGAGCACAGAGGCCTGCTATGAATCCCAACTCTGCCCTTAGCTAGCTGTGTGATCCTGGGCAGATTACTTATTCTCTCTGTGCCTCCATTTCATCTGTAAAATGGTGGAGAGGGGTATAGTTCCTATCTCACAGAGTGGTTGAAAGGATTGAATTGGTTAATACATGGTAAATGCTTAGTACAGTTTGGTATAAGTTCAATAAATATTAACTTAAAAATATTGCTATGGGAAGATAGTATTTTCATAATGCTCCAACACTGGTTAGTTTAGTTGGTGCAGTTAAACAACTTGTCAGGTCTGGGGTGTAGCTTACTGGTAGAGCATGTGCTTAGCATGAATGAGGCCCTTGTCTCTGTCCCAGTATCAAAAACACATTCATAAATAAATTTCAGATCAGTTAGTTTAATTTACTGGTCAAGTCTATCAAAAGACTGAATCAACATGTTCATGTGGATATATCTTCTTGTCCGTGTCCAAATCATTTTAGTAAAATTTTGTGATTCCTCACCCTGGAATTCAGCTGATGATAAGTATTTCTTAAATTCAATGTGTTAGTGAAACTACTGCACAATAATCTGTGTTCCAATTTTGGGTTTTTTGGGGTGGGGGCAGGGACAGTGGCAGTGCTGAGGATTAAACTCAGGGCGTTGTGCATGCTAGGCAAGCACTCTACCACTGAATTATATTCCAACCCCATCCATTTTAAAAAAAAACAAAACCAAAAAACTCTGCACACTTAAAATTCACTATACAACTTCCTCAGTACTAAAAATCTCTTAAAAGTATCTCTTAAAAGGCTTCCCTATTCATCTATTTTGTAATTTAATGTCATCACAAAATCAATATAATTAGAACACAGTTTTGAAATGATGCAGAAAGCATGGATCATCAGGAAGTTTTTGAAAAATATCTCCTTTTTTAAAAAGAGAACAGAAGGCCTACAGCAGGAAATTCAGATGCTCACTAAGCAATTGGAACAGCTGCATCAGATTTACGAAGAAACTGCTCAAGAATCACCTCAGGGTGGAGAAAATTATAGGGAACAAAAAAAACCCTTGAAACGTCTAGATGGAAACATTGGTTTCAATGACTTTTTTCAAAGGAAATCAGACTTGGACAGGAATAAAGTAAGAATATACTGAAGCATAGGCATTTCTTTGATAAAGGAAATGATCATATTTTATTTTATTAATGACCTTAACATTATTTAATGTTTAAAGCTATTCATACTATATATACTTCTCCTAATGGAAAAGGGGAGGATTTGCTATAGATCCTTGAAGTTTCTGATTTTATCAAAAAGCCTCTCCTCTTTCCATATCTCCATTTCCTTACTGTGCACATATTTGATGTTTATTATGACAGATATGTTAATAAATATCTTAATACACTTTTAGAAGAGAATTAGAAGGAAAGGAATGCCAAGGAATGATTCTCTAATGGTGGAATTTCAGGCACTGTGACAGCTAAATATGATGAGTGTCAGTGAGGTGCATTGATGATATTCCTTGAATAATCATTGTATAAACTGTTATCTTCTCCAATTTCTGCTTCCCTGAATGTATAAGGAAAAAGGCAGTCCTAAAAGTGGGATGGAAACGAGTAGGTTGCAATTCAATTTGTTTTCAGGAAGTCCTGTTTCTATTTTGCTACCTCTTCACTGAATTACCTGTCGAACCTTAACCTATTTTATACTATTTCTATAATTGCTGTGGCTCAAGGTGTAATATCACTCACTTATTTACTAATGACTCAGTTGGCCTTTCAGCCCATTCATGCATCCAATATACATATATATATATATATATATATATATATATATATATGCACACATATGTACATTTTTTTTAATTTTTAAATTTTTGTGGTGCTGAGGATTGAACCAAGGCCCTCAAGTATGCTAAGTAAGCACTCTATCACTGAGCTATATCCTCAGCTCCAATCCAATATTTATGGAACTCTTTTTTTTTTTTTTTTTTTTTGCAGTGCTGGATGGTAGGCAAGCATTCTACCATTGAGCTATACCTCTGGCTGGAGCTCTAAGTTTTTCTTCCAGCACTTTAGGAAATGGTGTTTTAAAAAAAATACCCATAAACCAATACAGTGGTACATACCTATAATCCCATCTGTGTGCAACTTTACCTCTAAAGAAGCTGAGGCTGGAGAATTGCAAATTGAAACTAGCTTCAGCAATTTAGCAAGACCCTATCTTAGGGAAAAAAAAGACAAAACAAAAACCAAAATAAAAAAACTGGGGATACAGCTCAATGGCAAACTACATCTGGATTGAAACCCAGTACCGGGGGAAAAAAGACATATTCCATAGAATTCAAAGATGAGTGCAGCTTCTATCTCTGCTCTTACGTATGTGACTGATAATGATTCATTTCCACACAAAATTATTTTAAATGCTATATTGAAATTTAAGAATATGCAATCCAGGCATAGTTGCACGTGCCTGGAATCCTAGCTACTCAGGATGCTGAGGCAGAAGGATCGCAAGTTCAAGGGCCAGCCTCATCAACTTAGTGAGACCCTGTCTCAAATAAAAAATGAAAAGGCTAGGGATATAGCTTAATGATAGGGTACCCTAGGTTTCAATTCCCAGTAAAGTGTGTGTGGGGGAAGCTAATAACATGATTTCCACAACCCTTTTAATCATGTTAAAAGATTTTAAGAAAAAAAAAATAATTTTTCAGCCCTCTTTCTTATCAGTAACCAATTGTGTATACAAGCATTCTTTGTATTAACCAAGAATAAATTGTACCAGGAACATAAAGGACTTATATGAAGAACATTGCAAAATCCTAATGGGGAATATGAAATAAGATCTGCAAATGAAACATACCAAATTATCAAACAATGTCAATCACCAAAATTATAAATATGTAGATTATTAATATCTGAAAAAGTGACCCATCAGTATATTAATATTTATTTATTTATGGGTACTAGAAATTGAACCCAAGATGCTTTACCACTGAGTCACTTCCTCAGACCTTTCATTTCTCTGGTTGTACATGATGTAGAGTCAGTCGCACCATTTGTGCAATCATACATTTACCTAGAGTAATGAGTCTGTTTCATTCCACTCTCTAACCTACCCCCATGCCCCTTCCCCTCCTCCTCTCCCCTTTACCCAATCCAAAGTGCCTCCATTTTTCCCATTCTCCCTCCCCCCATTAAGGATCAGCATCCACTTATCAGAACATTTGGCCTTTGGTTTTTGGGGATTGGTTTACTTTGCTTGGCATGATGATGTTCTCCAACTCTATCCATTTACCTGCAAATGCCATAATTTTATTCTCTTTTAATGCTGAGTAATATTCCATTGTGTACATATACCACAGTTTCTTTATCCATTCATCTTTTGAAGGGCATCTAGGTTGGTTCCACAGTTTAGCTATTGTGAATTGAGCCTCTAAAAACATTGATGTGGCTGTGTCATTATAGTATGCTGATTTTAAGTCCTTTGGGTATAGACCAAGGAAGGAGTGGGATGACTGGGTCAAATGGTGGTTTCATTATAGGTTTTCTTTTTTTTAATATTTATTTTTTACTTTTACTTATACAATATCTTTAATTTTTATATTTATGTGTTGCTGAGGATCGAACCCAGTGCCTCACACATGCTGGGTGAGCACTCTGCCACTAAGCCACAACTCCAACCCTCATTCTAGGTTTTCTAAGGAATCTCCATACTACTTTCCAGAGTGGTTACACCAATTTGCAGTGCCACCAGCAATGTATGAGTGTGCCTTTCCCCTCACATCCTCACCAACATTTATTGTTGAGTGTATTCTTGATAATTGCCATTCTGACTGGAATGAGATGAAATCTTACAGTAGTTTTGATATGCATTTCTCTAATTGCTAGAGATGTTGAACACTTTTCATATATTTGTTGATTGTTTTTATATCTTCTGAGAAGTGTCTGCTCAGTTCCTTAATCCAGTTATTGATTGGGTTGGTTTTGGGGTATTAAGGTTTTGGAGTTTTTCATATATCCTGCAGATTAGTGCTCTATCTGATGTGCATGTAATAGAGATGTTCTCCCACTCTGTGGGCTCTCTCTTCACGTTATTGATAGTTTCCTTTGCTGAGAAGAAGCTTTTTAGTTTGAATCCATCTCATTTGTTGTTCTTTTAAACGTGTTCTGTGGAATTAATTCTTCTTCTGCCATTAAGTGAAATGTAGGGCACGGCTGTGTTTTTTTGTTTTTTTTTTAGTCCATACATTTTTAATAACAGGATTTCTCCTGGGGATATTTAAACAGACTATAAAAAGTACATTGAAAATTTTACTATTTAGTATGCTTAACTCCTCTTTTGACCAAAATACAGTACAAGAATTCCAGACTTGCCTGGAGACAAGATAGAACAAGGGCTGTTTTTATTTTTAACTCTTTTGATTGTTGCTTCTGGTAGTACCTTCATTTCCCTAAATAATTTTATACTACTACATCTTGAATTTTCTATTTCAGACATTATCTGTTGATTTCATATTAAAGTTTTATCTCTCTTATACCACTTTCCCATTTAGCTATTTCCCAAATATAGTTGATATATTGATATTTGGGGAGAGATCCATAATCAATATTTACTTCACTATGACAACTAAATATTTACAAAAGTTACAAAGTACTATGTTCTTGTTACATGTCCTTTCTTGCATTGCACTTTTCCTTAGAGTGAATATACCTTCCTTGTGTTTTCATATGTGTAATTTTCAACATTCATTTGTTTTTCCCTTAAATATTATAACAAATGATCCACTAGTCTATAAAAATATGACATTTTTTCCCTCTCTCTCAAAATTTTCATTTTCTTCCTTAAGACTGGGGATCTTGATTTTTACTCTATGGGTCTGGACCCAGCTGTGATCCTGTGACTTTTCTTCTCTAATCTCTGAATCTCATATCTTCTTCTTCTTCTTCTTCTTCTTTTTTTTTTTTGGTTTACTTTCTCATTTTTTTTTTTTTTTGATGGTGCTAGGGATTGAACCCAGAGCCTTACACATGCAAAGCAAGCACTCTACCAGCTGAGCTACATCCCCAGCCCTCTTCTTTCTCATTTTGCTTGGATACATCCTCCAAGAACTTCCTAAGAAATGATACCGTGGGAAAGATACTTTTTCTTTGAGTACTTGCATAAATAAAAAGGTCTTTAAAAAAAATCTTCACATTTGATTGATAATTGAGTTCACACAGAGATTAGAAAACATTAATTCTTCTAATTATCTTTGGGGCTCCAGTGTTGTTATTGAGAAAAATGTGCCATTCTTATTTTTGTTATCCAGTGTTATCTATTTTGTTTCTTTGAATGTTTTAATACATTTGCTACATTTGTCAAGATATTTTAAATAACTATTTTTTTTCTCATAATAAAATTCATTCATGTGCATTATAAAGATTTATAAAGCACAGAATAGGAAAAGAATAAGACCAAAATCACCAGTAATTCCACCATTTGGAAATAACTGGTGTTATCATATATCATATTATAATGTTTTCTTTTGATTACTTTCCATACATATTATTTTTGTCTGGTTTGTTTGTTTGGTACTGGGAAGTGAACCCAGGGGTATTTTGCCACTGAGCCACATTCCCAGCCATTTTTATTTTTTATTTAGAGACAGTGTCTCACTAAGTTACTCAGGGCCTCACTAAGTTGCTAAGGTTGGCTTTGAACTTGCAATCTCCTGTTTCAATCTTCTGAGTCACTGGACTCACAGGAGTGTGTCACCATGCCTGGCTCTTCATGCATTTTTTAAAAAATATTTTCTTAGTTTTAGATGGACACAATACCTTTATTTATTTTTATGTGGTATTGAGGATCAAACCCAGTGCCCCACACATGAGAGGTAAGCGCTCTATTTCTGAGCTACAGCCCCAGCTCCTCAGTGCATATTTTTAACAACTGAGATAAGCATAATTTTTCTTAATCCTGTTTCTTTCATTTAACTAATATATTATTATTTTCTTTTAATAAATATTTTTAAACAATTTCTAGGGAATGTATTATTACCATATGTAATTTTCCTGACATTTGTATTTCTTTTATTTTTCATTATGAATAGAGTAGTAAAGAATATCTCTGTACATGAATCTTTATACAAATACTCATTATTTTCTTAGAATACATTCCTAGAAAAGAAGAATTAATCTACACTATTGCTAAGTATTTACAAATTGTCTGTTTAACTGTTACCCTTGATAGCAATAGACATCACTTTTATTGTAGCATTTTTGTCTCCCGATTATCTTAATAATGTGTATTTATGTTGAAAAGATATTTTACTTATGTAAATATTGTTAAGCCTACAGTTTATTGTTCTAGAATAGATTGGTATCATGCTAGTATAGAACATTTTAAAGCCAATTATTTATTTCAATACTGTTAATTTCTGCAAAGGAAAACTTCAGAACTCCGAATTCTCAAGTTGATAAGCATAACAAGAAGTTCAAACAATTAGAAATGTTGTTGAATATTCAGCAAAATTTACAGATTATTACAACGCCAATATTGGAGGAGAAAATTCAGAAACTTCAGAAACAGCTCAGTGATTTGAAATTATCAAATAAAAATATGAAAACTCAACTGACAAAAATAAATGTCCTTAAAGTAAGTAAAGGAAATGAAGTTTTCAAAAATTCATAAAAGTTTTGGTCCATTCCTATTTAACTGCATTAGCTCTCATTGAACTTTTTAAAGAACAAATAAATTAAAATAATTTTATATACAAACAGAATAATATGTAACATTAATATATAATATGTTATTCTATAATATGTATTACTATAGGAAAATAAAATTGGATGCCTGTGAATCCATCAATCATTTTAGAAAACAGAATGTTACCAATCCCACTGAAACCCCCAGGTATCCTCCTCCCTGTTTCTCAAAGGTAACTGGTAGTCTGAATGTTATGATTTTAAATCCCTTGCTTCTTTTCGTTTTAGTTTTATTATAGTTTCTTATTGGGTTAATGGATATTTTTTTTCTCTTCTTTGGAGCTAGATTCAGTTTTCCTATATCAAAAGTAGATTGTGAGTTAAGCCAAATACACACTAAATAATTGATCAACTGATATGCTATTTTATCACCAATATTTTTCTTACTGTAGAACCAATTATTTTATCCATTTCTGTATTTGTTTAATGTAGGCTGTAAGACCTTTAAGGACATGGAAAATGTGTTAAGCTTCTTTAAATCCATGAATTCAGTTTATATAAATGCTAAATGATTATGAATGGTAGAAATGCCTCTTAATTGAAAAATTGTGGACTATTTCTCTTTTCCATATGTGGTCATCAACTTTTCATTGCTGTGACAAAATACCAGAGATAATCAACTTTAAAAAAAGAGGAAAAGATTTATTTTGGCTCATGATTTCAGAGGTTTCAGTCCAGGATCACTTGGCTCTATTGTTTTTGGATATGTGATGAGACACCCTTCAACACATGAGATTTTGGAGGAAATTTCAGATCTAAGTCATAATCATACCTCTTTTCAAAGAGAGATGGGAAAAAAAAAACAAAAAACCACGAGTTATCAAGCCTGTCTGTTTTTTATAGGAGATCAACTCACAGTCGTCTCCTCTCTTTCATCCACATTTTACCCTCTCATAGGACAAAACAATTATGAAGCTCAGGAAATCTTTAACAAAAGCTGAAACAATGAAGGAGAAGGTAGTTATGAATATAGATGATTTGAAAACTACATCCGACTCTGCAGAGCAAGAGGCAAGATCAGACAAAGAGAAGGCCCGTCAGATGTTAGACACTGTCATTCCTGAGCTCTCCATAGCCAAGAACACGCTTGAAGTGTCAGGACAAGAACAAGAGGTTTTTTTATCTTATTACTATATTAAAGTTAATTTAGTTGGAATGATAAACACACCCACCTCAACTTACATTAACTAAGACAAAACAGAATTTATTGACTTATGGTATCAAAAACAGATTAAACTAATCTCTGTGAAGTCAGAGATGAACCTAGGCCCTAGGACTAGCACCGGGCACTTTACAGGACCTTTTTCACTGTCTTCTTGGCATCTGTGTGACAGTTTGTCTGACTACCAGTGTTTTTTTTTTTTTTTTTTCCCTATGACAGGAAACATGGTAAATGACAGCCATGGAGTTTCATATTTAGTTCTTGTGATGGGAGAGAAAAATTCCAGAAGGGATCTTATTGGGCCAGTTTAAATCAAGTGTTTCTCCCTGGAGAATCCCACAATGGCTTAGGAATGGGATATGTGATTATTTTAGTTTGGAGGATAGGGTCATGTTAGAGAATGGAAGCTCAGAGGAAACCATGTATGTAATTGTTTGTGTCACATTCGAGAATAGAATGACACTTCTAAACTTGCTTAGATTTTTCACTATACTTATAAAGCAAATTTGTTTCCTTTTCTCTTCCTTCCTTTTTTTTTCTTTTTTCTTTTTTTTGTTCCTTTTCTTTTCAGTGCTTGGGATCCAATCCCAGGGCTTCACTACAAGGCAAATATTTTAACAGACTTTTTAAAAGGCTAACTGATCATTCTGGGCCACTCTTAAAGTATATGTCATATCTCCATATTAGTTGCTTAAAAAATTTGAAACTTTTCCAAATTCTGGATGATATGCTCAAAGCAGACTCAGGAGGCTGGGACAGGAGGATCACAAGTTCAAAGCCAGCCTTGGAAACTTAGCAAGGCCCTAACCAACTTACTGAGACCCTGTTTTGATTAAAAAACAAAACAAAAACACCAAAGTCATAAGATTAGTGTTTTCTCCTTTCTCTCTCTCTGCATCTTTGTCTCTTTCCCTCTATTTTCTGCATATTCATTTTCTTTTCTTTTTATTTTTTTTTAGTTGTAGTTGGACACAATACCTTTATTCTATTCATTTATTTTTATGTGGTGCTGAGGATCGAACCCAGGGCCCCGCGCATGCCAGGCGAGCGCTCTACTGCTGAGCCACAATTCCAGCCCCTGCATATTCATTTTCTATGTTGTTTTTATCCCTCTTTTCAATGCCCCTTATATTTTCAGTAAAGTCTATTCCCCTTTGGTCACTTTTTTTTTTTTTTTTAAATGTGCCAGGGATTGAACCCAGTGCCTCACCACATGCTAGGCAAGTGCTCTACCACCGAGCCACAACCCTGGCCCTCCTTTGGTCACTTTGTAGTTCATGCCTCATTTCTGAAAAGATTTTCTGTTATTCTTGCCTGATTTCAATGATCATATCTTCTGTATTCATTAGACATCTTGGACATGGTTTTATTCTGAATTATTAAATGTATAATTCAAAGAAAGGTGTTGTTGTTGTTTTCCATGTCTGCAAATCCTCATTTAATTAAGATTTAATTCACTTCAGGGTTTTGTGTCAAACATGTTTCCTGTGCTTTGTGACTGTTTTTTTTTTTTTTTTTTTCGGGTGGGGGGGCATATTTTCATCACCTAAACAGTTTTGATAATACTGCTTATTCTTAAAGCAATTATTTTTGAGGGAGAACTGAGGATTGAACCCAAGGGAGCTTTACTACTGAGCTACATCCCCAGGCCTTTTTATTTTGAGACAGGTTCTCACTAAGTTGCTGAGGCTGGCCTGAAACTTGGAATTCCTCCTATCCTCAGCCTACCAAGTTGCTGGGATTATAGGCGTGTGCCATTCCACCTGACTCTTCCTAAAGCAATTCTCTATGGATATTAATTTGCCATTTATCTGTTCAATTTGAAATCCTTTTAATTGTCCTGGTTTTCATGTTTCTTCTTTAGTAGCTGTAGGTTGGATTTACTTACTAGGTTTCTTAACTCAATACCGCCCTCTTTTGTTGAGGTGGTAGATGCAGTTTTTGAAGTTCACTAGAACAAGCCTTTTATTTTGGGGGTAGGAATTTGTGTAATGTATGATTCTGCCATACTCTCCTGTTTGTATATGTCTTTTAATTTCATTGTTTACTTCTTCCTTTTCCTTTATTACCAAGCCACTAAGAAACACTTCACCCTTCCAAACTCTCCAACCTCCCCTTGCCCTCTAGAACTGCCATTTCTGGTCTTTATGCTTTCAGGCCTCTTTCTTTTCCTTCCTCACTATCAGGTTTCAGATTTATTCTCTGTATTTCCCTATTTGAGAACTATCCCATTTCCTGGGGGTAAGGCTATATGTGTTCTACAACAGTGGAAACGAGTAGCACCCTCCTCTGGAGCTGCCCCTACTAGTTTAGGATATTCATTTCCACTCAATGCAGATTGAAGGCTGTGATATTCTTTAGTTGTTTTAAGCATGGATTTATGGGTGATTTTTCTTTTAGTTTTAGGTGGACACAATATCTTTATTTTATTTTTTATGTGGTGCTGCTGAGAATTGAACCCAGTGCCTCACACATGTTAGGCGAGCGTGCTACCACTTGAGCCACATCCCTAGCCCCTTATGGGTGGTTTTTATTTGTGCTCTTTCTAGATCACTGTGGCTTTTGGAGGATGGATGGATATATATTTAAGGGACTTCTATTATCATAAAGCACACCAGAAGTCTAAAAAGTGTGGTTGTGCATATGTTGTCCCAGTTCCGTAAGAGGCTGAGGCTGGAGGATCACTTGAGCCCAAGGGTTGGAGGCCAGCCTGGGCAACATAGTAAAATCCCCATCTCAAACAACAGCAGCAACAAAATTTAATTGCCTTATGGGTGAAAAGCATTAAGATGTAAAAAAAAAATAGGTCTAATCTACTAAAGTGTAAACATAAGAAAAATATAAAGGAAATTTTAAAGAATTATTGGAATAGAAGAGACTAATTTTCTAGCTTAAAAATACCATTTGAATGTAGCATATATTACATTTAAAAAGAAAAGCTGAATAAGACCAAATTTCTAATATTAATTTCATTGTGCAAAATAAATTGGTGACTGAAACTAATGACATATCTTGATTTTTGTGGGTGGTTCTTTATAGCTTGGTGACTTTCGAGAAACTATTTTGAAGATGTTGGGATTTGACATGAAAACAGCAGACAAAGAAATCATCAATCAGTTAAAGCTTATTATACAAGTTTATGAAATATCTAACAAATCAAAGATTGCTTCTGATTGTGAGACTGGACAAGATAATGAATAAACAAGTTCTGCCTTTTAATTGCTGCCAAGAACTGAGCAGATATAGCTGTTTCCTACGGCATCTTGAATATGCTGTATCATGAATAAAATGCAGTGGAAAAATTTTACTTAAGTCTCTTCTCTCCTGTGATGTTTGGCACTTAACATGTCTTTGTAAATAATCTTGTTCAATACCTTTATTATAGTCTAGTTTGGATTGCTACTTTGTAATACATAACAATTATCTAATGACCTTTAATCACTAGCTGTATTTTTAGCAGAATGCGAATCAGAAACTTGTATTCTTAGTTGAAATATTTATATTCATAGTTAATAGTCTGTTTCTAGAATGAACAAGTTATTGGGTTAAAAAAATCCCCTTTAAGAGGGGCTGTGGCTGTAGCTAAGTGGTATAGTGATTGCCTTGCATGTGTGAGGCACTAGGTTCGATCCTCAGCACCACTTAAAAATAAGTAAATAAAGTATTGTGTCCATCTACAACTAAAAATAAAATCCCCCTTAAGAATCCAGGTAAAGTTAAATTCTGTAATTTGAATCTATCTTATACATTTTATTAACAGAGTATGAATAGCAAATATGAAATGTTGAGGGTTAGGAAGGTCTTTGACAATTCTTGTCAGGCAATAGACTACATTGTTTTTTATTTTCCTAACATTTAATAGTGTCTGTCAGTGTTTCCCTAATGGTAGGTTGATTTCTAAGTTTATGGGCTTTTTAAAAATAGTATAATTTCTAATATATTTCATTTAAAGTAGGAAATTGTTCATCTTCCAAGGTGGTCTTAGATTTACCCAATATGTCCTCTGTGGGAACAGGTCAGAATCTGAACAAGCATGTGGGATTCAATGTCTGTTGTGGTCACTGCAAAGGGTCTCCTGTTTGGCTTAGTTTTGGAGGGCTCCTTAGCATGGGAGGGATCAGGTTATATTGGACCTTACAGAAGTAGCACTTTGGAAGAAAATGATTATATAAAATACCCATTTAAGGAAAAATGAGAATCACCTTCTAAATTGTCATAGTTGTGACTCTCAAACTGTATGCCAGGGAATCTTGATATACTTCAAGAATTACAGGATTTTAAGCAGAATGTGAATCAGAAACTTGTATTCTTAGTTGAAATATTTCAAAATTTAAGGGGAAACAGTGATATTTGACATCTATCAGGAAAGTACATGAGTACTAGCTTCAAGTAGTTTATAATTTCAACATTTGATCACTTTTTTCTTTTGTTAACATCTTTGTGATAAAAACTGCCAAGTGAGGCCCATCAGTTGGTGTCCTTACCAAGGAAGCTGACGTGGAAACCTGAGGAATAAGGCACTCTTTCCCTGGACTTTAGGATACATGGCTGGAACATAAAAAAAAACTTGCTTATCCTTCCTCTGAAGAATTTCCTTGATCCTTGGTTTAATCCCAGTATATGGGGGTGGGGAGTAATATTCTTGGTCTAGCAAAAGAGAAAATGTGGGGTACACCCTGCCTGGAACAGGAACTGGCTATTCACAGAAGAGGGATTGTAAAAAGTGTTAACTATGTTAATTCTGAGCAAGTTAGGGAGAGTTACCCTTCAAATATCTGGGACAATTTTTTCTAGAAATGCTTTCAATCCAAATCACTGCACATTGTTCTTCAAGGACAGATGTAGATATAAGTGTTTAGATAACTGGTTCTCAAGATGCATCAGAATCACCTAATAAACTTTCTTTTTTCTAGTCCCATTAGAGGTTCCAGCTCAGTTATTTTTTCTCAAAGCTTCCTAAGTATAAAAATTGATAAAATTACTTGGGAAAACTGTTAATTAATTTCCTGGGTCACCATAACAAATAAAGCTTGTTGGCTGAAATAAAAATAGGTAAATATATAAGTAGAAAAATTAAGATAATAAATACAAATTTTTATCTTACAGTTTTGGAGGTCTCACTGGGCTTAAAAATCAAGTTGTTGGTAGAGCTGTGTTCCTCAGGAAAGAGGAAAATCTTTTTCTTTGCCTTTTCCAACTTCTAGAGGTTGCCAACATTATTGGCTCATTGCCTCCTTCCTCCATCTTTAAATCTAGGGTCAGTAGGGTGCAGTAGGGCATGCCTGTAATCCCAGTGACTCTGGAGGCTGAGGCAGGAGGACCTGAAAGTTTGAGGGCAACCCCAGCAACTTAGCAAGACATGTCTCAAAAATAAAAAGGGTGTGGTGGTAGAGCATCTCTGGGTACAATTTCCAGTACCACAGAAATAAATCCAGGGTCATCAGGCCATCCCCAATTTTGCCATACTACTATTTCTCTGGTTCTCCTCTGCTCTACTTGCCTCCCTCTTCCCCATATAAGAGCCCTTGTGATTATATTGGGCCCACCTGAGCAATCAAGAATGAAGTCCCTTTTTAAATTGTATACTTTGTCATACTAGGGATAGAACTGAGGGCTCACACTTGCTAGGCAAGTGCTCTTCAGCCCTGATGTCCCTATTTTAAGATGATTAACAACCCTCATTCTTTTTTGCCATACAACTTAATACAGGTGCCAGGAATAAGGGCATAATTATTTATTGTGCCTACCATAGTTAACAACTACTAAAATTGAATACATTTATGCTTTATGAATAGGCAATTCTACTCCTACGTATATAACTAGCAATGTGTGTATATTATAGAAAAAGACATTTACTAGATTATTTATGGCAGCATTGCTTATAATCGTCCCAAACTCTCATCTACCAAAAAAAAAAAAAAAAAAAAAAAAAAGTAAATAAGTGTGGCAACCAAATGCATTGGTTAAGCATTCAGAACTCCTTTGGGATTGAACAAGAAGTCAACTGAAATGCTAAATTTCTCAGGGTCAAAACTAGAAGGTGGTTATGAGGCCAGAACCTAAGAGATGGTAAACATAGGTTTGAGGAAAAGGGGTAAATTTATGGGGTTCTCTTAAGCAAGGTGAATAAGATTCAAGTATGTATGGTGGGGAAAGTAATGGGATGTAAGACCTTGTTCTTACTGAACTTGTCACTAAACAGCTTTGCACACTTGATAAAGTCCTGGCACTTCTTTGAACTCAAATTTTATATCAAAGTTAAAGAATGTGACCTGGATTCCTGAGTTCTGTGAGATTCCAGGCAGCCCCAACTACTCTGGCAGAACATGTTCTGGTCAGATTAAAGGAGCTCTTTACCCGCAAAAGACAGGAGCCAGCGGGCACAGCCACTAGGTACATTCTGATACAGGCTCCTTTCCTCAACTGCCAAACAAACGTGTCTTCAGGCGTTGACAGTCTGAGATCAGCCTCCTCCCTCAGCCACCTAGCCCCGCCTTTCCCCTACAAGTGTCCCCTTCCGCAAAGAGGAACACCCTATTCAATGTCCTACGGTGCAAAACGTCCCAGCCCCAAGTCCTCCGCTTACGTGGCGACCACGTTCTAGCACGTGAGTCCCTTATAGAATTCCCACTGTAGGTGCGGCCAAACTGGCGGGGCGACTTCTCGGAACAGTCCGCTAACGTCCAACAGTTCAGGGAACCCGCGCTACTGCGCCTGTGCGGTGAAAGGGTTGGGTATTTAACTGTGGTGGGTGCTGGTACTCTACGCTGCTGGCGGGAGAGAGCAAAGAAAAAAACGAAGGCGTCAGAAATGGCTGTTAGGGGAAATGATAGGTTGGTGGAAAGAGCCGGTGCAGAGCGCGCCTCTGAGGGTGGGACCCGCCTCCGTTACAGCCAATCAGGGCGCGGGGCGGGGCGGCCTGGCGGGATCCGTTTCGTGGGCTCTGGAGGCGCGTCTCTGCTACGAATCTGCGCCCTGGGGACGCTTTGCTGTGTCTAGGCTTCTCGAGAAAGTTCTGCTCCGCCCCGTGCAGCAGCGACTGCAGACCTTGAGCTTGGTCCTTTGGGCGGGGCTCCCGACTCTCACAGTCGCGCCACCGACAGTGTTCAGGGCTGGCCTCTGATTCCTAGGGTCTGAGATGGAGCCAGTGACTTTTTAAAAAAAAACTCGTGAGCGAACCTGGTGCCAGCCAAGGTTGAAGCCCCGTGGCTGTTTCAGCCCCGTTGTGCTGGGAATGGTAACCGAACTGGAGGGCGTGTGGTTCCCCGCCCCAGACCTGGGGTTGGAGCACGGACGCGGGCCGCGGGTCCGCGAGATGAGGTTGACCCTCCGAGCGCAAGCTCCTCCCTGTAGGCGTCCCTCCGGGAGCAGGACTGAGTTTGGCATTTGCTCCGAGAACCAGCGGGACAGACTAGGCCGCTGGGGTGTGGGTGAGGACGGTCCCGCTGGGCGCCGAGTCCGCTGACTCTGCTTTCTCTGCACCAGCTCCCTGGCTAGGTTCTTACCGAGCCCAGGTTCAACCTCCCCATGTAGTTTAGTCGTCCAGATAGATCACTTAGGACCTGACCAGTTAGCTGTTTCTTAAGTAGCCTGTTTCTAAGCAACCGTTTCTTAAGTAGCCTGTTTCAACTAATGGCATGGTTTATTATTACAAGGGTTCTTTTTTGGGGGGTGGGTGCTGGGGAGCTCTTTGGGTATTTTTTTTCTTATACTTAAATTCGGAGAATATTTTACAGTACCCCCGTATATGGAATTAGAAAATTTCGTTTGGTTTCATTGGCAGTTTTGTTGAGGTATAATCTACATACCATAAAAATGCACCCATTTTAAGTGTATGATTTAGTGATTTTAGTGTACAGTCATGTGTGGATTTATGATAGGAACACTTCAACAAAATGCGTTCTTAGTCAATTTCGACCTTGATAGAGCATGAACTAAGAGGATTACATGGTCACTAAGCAATATAACTTTTTGGACCCCATTGTAAATGTGGTCAGTCCTTTACTGAAAAGTCATTATTCCACACATGACTATTTCCAGAGTTGTTCAACAGGAAATCTTGATAGCACCCCTACCACCACCACCACCACCACCACCACCCCATCACCACACACACACACACACACACAATTTGACATTCTACAGATACGATGTAACATAAGGGCCCTTGAAAGTATATACTTAGGGCTGGGGTTGTGGTT